CTTAATTGAATTTACTTACAGTGACTTTGCTTGCCATTTAAAGGTGAATAGAAATAAACTTGCGTTGATTAATCGGCTATGGAAGTGTGAAATGGGCGAAAGATTGACGATTACCGCTAATTCGTTCACGAAAATAGATCAACTCGACGGATTCCGCCCGCTGTGGCGGTCCGGATGAGAAAATTTTGCCAGCTCCAGGAACCAATCAGAATGCAGGATTTGTTGAATTTGGCCGGCTCACGAGCTGAGGAAAAGATAATGAGTTATATGTCGTCATGTTAAAGTCCTAGGGTCTTTTGCAGTGCGAATCCAGTGGTTGTTGGATGTAGCGATACAGGATTCCGAGGGGAACTCCCATATGAAAAGGTCGGGGATGCTTGTCGAGAAATGAGAATAACCCTTTGACAGCTAAAAATGGTGGCGTTTCATCCTGAACACGCTAAGTTAGACCAAAATTATTGATTCACGCCCTAAAGCGAGTCGATGAGCATCCCCAACCGTTTCACATCTGAGTCTCCCCCCCCCCAGACAGGATTTAAACATGCAAATCTCAGGGCTAATTATTCGGGTACCTGTTTGACTTCTATTTTGGCAAACCACTCCAGCGTCAAAACGAAACGAACTCCTGTACGTCTGCCATTCGTGAGTACAATTTGTCAAAGAACTTTCGTTTCCAGTGCACTGCACCGTGTCCATCCACGTGACTACATTAGGCTTTCCTCCCAGCCAGTTATTACATCTCCACAGAACTGTCAAAACATCCTGGTACCCAAGCTGTCTACAGACAACGCGGCCATCTTCTCGATCCCAGCGAAACATCCCAACGTCGCCCCAGATCCCTGCATAGTTCACTTCCACGCAACCAGCATAATGGACTGGTGCGTAGGATAGGCGAACGTCCAAAGGATAAGCTTAGAAAATAAAGAATGAAAACTATTAGAGAAACTGTGTTCAAAATTGTCCTTAACTAACGCTTGTGTTTAAGATTTCTCATTTTTCCACCTCATCTATGTCTTTATTAGTAAAGCGAGAGATGTTTTACGCCAACTTAGTTCCGGGGTCGAGGATGAGGTCTGTTTAACGCTTGGCATCAAGAGGCAGTTTTTTCGATAATGAAATCTGCGGAGGCACCGTGGCCGAGTGTTTAGGGTGCCGGGCTGGAAATTCGGAGGTCGCGGGTTCAAGTCCTGCTCAAAGTACTAAGCTGGAGTTGTTTCTCGGTAGACCCTAGTTCAATTCCGCGGTCATGCTTGTAAATAGCCAACTGGTCTGCCTCGAGCCAGTTGGGATTTTTAAGCCTATTATGTTTAGTTAATTTATTTGTTTCTTTCTTTCAGTTTAAGTGGCATGCTTGTGAATTAGCTAGCTGTAGCTAAGCGCATTGACCACTATAAACAACAACATTTGAACATTTGAACATCTGAATCTGTAGTTGAACAGTTTCTGTCGCAGTGCATTACATCTTGGTCGAGGGTCTCAATGGGGCGATAGCTTATACGGCTAACGGTCAATATTTTGGCATTTTTACCGCAAACGGTTAATTTATTTCCCTCACTGTTAACAGAAATCTTAGAAAATAATTACAACTGTTTTAAAAAGTTAAGATTTAATTATCATTGTTTAAAAAGTTTAGAAATTTATTTTGATTAGCCTTAAACATCTACGAGGTCTTAACAGTTACAAAAAGGTATTATCATAAGAATTGTACACTACTGTTGCTTACTACTATAGTAAGACAAGACACAAAAAAATTATTGACAAGAGATTCTGAGACTTTCTCTTTCGTGGCTAAATTTTTTTAGGGGTAACATTTCTTACTGTTACGGGTTAAAATGTTCCAATTTTTACGCCTAACGGCTAAAATTTTTGTCCCGTTTTATCGCAAATGGTTCATCCCATTGAGACCCTATCGTGAACTTACTGTCTGTTATGTTGGGGTTTTCACAAACAACGCTTGCAAAGTCATATTGTGGATCACATGTATTTGGAGCCCCGGCCTTGTAATCACATTCAGCAAGACTGCTTTCGCTTCCGTTGCATTTAACATCATACAGCCAGAACGAACTCGTCCCATCGCCAAACGCGTTACAACATGGGGTGGCAACGGCCTGTGGGTAGCCAAGCTGTCTGCATATCACGTGACCCACATCGATAGTTAAGTCAGTATCACAAAGCGGGCCCCAGGTTCCGTTGAAATTCAGCTCCACTCGGCCAGCATATGATCCTGGGCCATCTGTTAATGTCACGTTGATGTTCAGTGCTGGAAGGTGAAAATAGTCAAAAACAAGTAAAAAGATTATTGAAACAAAGGAGAAAACAGAGAATTTTTTTCTACTGGGTGGGATTTGTTCATAGCAACAACAACAATAACAACAAAAACTTTTTATTTCACCCCAGAGTTAGAAATTACAATGTTTTGCTAGAGTAAAAAGCAAAATGATAGATGATAGGGGTGCTGGCTACCCGAAATAATGTAAGAGTGGAACATGCCAAGCAGCCAGTTAAAATAAAAGGTATTACATATGTTTAGGTTAGGGACAAAAGCGTTGTGAGGATTTTTTAGCTTGAATCTGCTGTTATGAAAACCATTCCGTGACTTTCAAGTGACGACAACACGTAAAGAAACATTAAGTAAGGAGTTAAGAAGAGGTTATCTGGAGATAAAGGGACACTTATTAGTGGATTTTAGACGAGATTTATGATTTGGGTGATAAGATGACATGATGTCAAAACCTATTCACAACGTAGCTCAATTACCGGCTCAAGACCTCACAAGGTGTCTTTTAGCCCTAGAGGATGAAACGAAAAAAAAAAAACATACTTACCTTTTGTTGCGGCACTGAGTAGAAGGATCGTCGAGCAAAGAACCCAGAGAAGCTTCATGATTGGTTGATTTCAACGAGCTACGTCACGGGTGGCACATCTGGAATAAATTAGCATAAGACATTGTAGCTCTTGCCGATCGTGGTCTGTGTTACTCTTCCACCATTTTAACCATGTTCGACCCTTTTTTTACACCATTCTTGATGTTATAATTATTGAGCAAGGTTTCCTTCAAATTAAGCTGCGTAATTATGTCTATTCGTGGTTACTTCGCGAAAATTGCATTCTATCGTGACCTTAACTTGATACGATCCCCAACTGAAACTGTGTATCTTTAGGAAACAGGATTACATGCCTCCCCATGAGTAAAATTCCTTTTGATATAAGTACAGAGAAAATTCAACCAGTCCATCAAATAACTGAAAGTTTCTTTCCAGTTATCAAATCGTTAAATCCTTTCCAAAGTGAAACCAAAAATAATTGCAAAATTCTATTTGATTTGTAAACAAAAAGCCATTAACAGTTATTTTAACCTCTTCGATTCTCATCTCGGTAATATTCATTATCTAACCCGAATGAAAAAAAAAAATTGACATCGTGGTTTCCACACGAACACACAAACGTAGAAAGAAGACTAAAAGACTTAATGAATCGACAACCGCAAAATGATTCACTTTTTTGAGACAGTTCTGTGGAGGACGGAAAGAGCAATCCAATCGTCTTTTGATTTTTGCAAGCAAAGTAACTGGATCGGGCTTATGGCAAGGGAAGGGGCGCTTTAAGTGTTTGTAATTACTCTTGTAATCAGTCTTGTTGTTTGGGATCAAGTCTATAAGAGATTTATAATTTGCTTTCCTTATGGTCACGATCTCCGAGCCAGATCGCGAGGAAATCTGTAGAATCTCGTCAACCTGGTGCAGAAATTACTATCATTTGGCGCAAACACTGATTGCTTTTGAAATGGTTTCTCGAGGTTTCGCAGATAACTCAGTTATAGTTTTATGACGTGTTTGCGTGCTGTGGCAAGTTGATCGACGAAAATCACAAGCAACATTAACGATCGCTGATAATTATCAGCGATAAAAAGCCAGGATTCGCTTACCTGAAATTCATCGATGTCTGCTGCAATGAACACATTGGGAAGAAGACTGATCGCATGAGTAACGTCTGTCGTCAACGAACAAACAGCAATGCTGACTTAAAATTGATGGAGTTTACTTTCACTGAAGAATGTAACCTTTAACCCTAAACAGGTGGCGAGAATAAAGATAGTCATCAATTGACAGCATATCGTTTTCATAAAACACAAAATTCTCTTAATTATCAGAAAAGTGTACTAGTCAGTAAGGAGAATTAATGCTTCGAGCAGGAACAAAAGCGTCAATTGTCAACAGCACGTTATATATTTACTGTGTTCTCAATCAATCAATTGTTACACAAACAAACAAACAAACAAACAAAGACGTATTTACTGTTAATTGTTAAGACATCGCACAGGTTCTTCATTTGCAGATAAGTTGTTGAAGTCCTAAAAGTAACTAGCCCTCCAACAAAGAAGAAACAAGGAGGAAATAACAAGCGATAAAGAATGACCTTCAAAGAAAAGAATAGTGATAGGAAAAGGCTGCCAACTCCGAACGTAACAAGGTTCGTTACAATAACAACCAACAAAACAAGCAAACAAATAGACAAAATAACAAACCGAACAGACAAAACAAAAGAGCAAAGCATCGGCCCTTTCTCGGAGAGTCTGCTGGGGGCGACCTCGTTTCAAGGGCTTTTCTCTTTGAAACAAGGTCGTGCTAGGATAGGGCTGCTGGAATCTCAGCGATCTCTCAGCTGTTAGTTAAAACTTCAACAGATTTCTCAACTAGCAGTTTGAAAAACATGTAATTTTAAGCTCTCAGTTCATCAGTTCTCAGCTATCAGCTAACCCTCATCTAATACCACCCTCCTTCCTGTGCGAAGCAAAACTTGCGATGCACGCGCTCACTAATTATGACCGCGCGCGCTTATTTGATTGATCTTCCCGGCCCACGCTAGAACTATGAGAAGTCCCACTTTCGCTTATCGCTTCGTTCGTGAGCCCAAAGAGCGTCTAGCATAGGTAGGAGGCTAGACCATAAATAAACCGAGAGAAATCCTGGGGATGAGAAGCGCGCGGCTTTCGCGCGGCCATTTTTTTCTCGCGGTTTTCTTTCGCGCCACGCAAGACGGACTACGCGAAAGAGGGACCACTCATAGTCTAGGCCCACGCGGGCTTTCGCTTCTCTTTCGACCGTCCACGCGAGGATCAAAGAAAAATTGTGTACATCCACCGCTCATAGGCTCACGCCCTATTTCTAGAGGAGACAGGTCTTTTTCTCGCAGTCGTTACAATCAAATATCCATGCCCTGATGTTATGACGAGTTTGCATTGGGAAGTTAAACATTTAGTAATTATAAGGTGAGTGAAGGTCCTTTTTTAGGCCACACGTACGAAGAAGTCCTTCCTGTTTTGTCCAGCATTAAAAACACTTTTCATTTGCTTGAGGCTTCTTTTTAACCCTGGTTAGACCTCCCTGAATTTTGGAGTCTATTTATATCATATGCCTTGGCACAGTCGCCAAATTTTAGAAATCGTAACCCTTTGTTGATATTACAGTTTGTTATCGATTAGATCAACATCGATTTTACATATTTTAAACATGCCTCTTTGAGAATTTATATTTCACTATTATGTTTGGTTAATCCATCGTCAGCTTTCCTTAATTTAATTTACTCCCGACAGTATTTTCTGAAACCCAAAGAAACCCAATTTTGCCTGATAGCAGTATAAGCAGTACAAAGCCAAGTATTACGAACAGAATTGCAAATGCAATGCCGGACCATAGCCAAGCAGGAGTCTAAGTAGAAAGCAATCTGAAGGTCATTTAAGAATATAAGCCTACCGCACCGTCCACATTACGCCGGAAAAATTTGAAAACGGCGTTTCAACTCTGAGAGCGCATCAAATGTTTTACGTCCACACTACGCCGAAGAAATTTGAAAATGCACCAATCACGGGTCATTTTGGATTTGTGTTTGATGGAGACTCGGGCAGGGAAATCACATGAATATCATGATGTCATTGTTTTGGAAAGCTCGGTTTTTAGAATGTTTTCCGTCTACACTAAATCGCAAAGCCGGCGCTTTCAAATTCCTCCGGTTTGAGGAGCGTTTTCGAAAAGCTCCGTTTTCGTGACGGATTAGTGTGGACCGTAGGCCAAACCGTAGAATTAAAGCTACGTTTTAAAATTTCCCTGGCGCAGTGTGGACGGGACTTCAGTATTTCCACACTTCTTTATTTATTAACCGCGAAGTAGTTACCACGTGATATTACGTCATCATCTCATGCGGCTTACATAAAAGGAAATATGTCCTACTTTCCCTTAATATTCTTGGTGTAACTTTGAATGCAAAGCTACATCAGGTAGTTGACTAAGGTCAAAGAATTTTTTTTCACCGACTTTCCTTCCTTGGGCTATAAACACTCAGAGGAAATTAATTGGGCGTATCGAGTTTATCTGACCTTCAAAGCAGGGTTTTGCAAGTAGTCCTTCTTCATGTCAGTTAACATAAGTTGAACAGGAAATTTCTGTTTTTTTATGTCGCAAGCACAGCATAGTTGACCTTCCCTGAAATTGAGGATTTGGAAGAAACTTGGACAACTGTAATTTGTTTATTCGATGAACGGATGTTTAGTGAGACCTAACTTGTCATTCATTCGTTATCGCGGCTGGTCAAAACTGCTGGATTAAATCAGCATTAATACGATATTCTTATTTACCGACTCCGTTTTCCCAGTTTGTTAACAAGATCATTCATTTTTGTGAAGTTCTTAGTGTCTCCTCTTTCTCGCATTTTGCCGGCAGCTATGTCTGATATAATTGTGAGATTCTTGTGACACTTGTGGTACTTACATCGATTGGTTTCAGTATCGGTATCAGCAAAGCGTTAATATCGTAACGACAGATTAGATGTTGAAAATTACTTTTTGCCATTCTTATAGCAGAGAACCATTCCACTGTAAATTGCCTACTGTTAACTAAACTTGCTCTTCGCAATGACAAACGATTGATAGACAAGCAAAATCAACCGTTGATATTCCTGAAAATAAACAGAAATGACGTTTGACAAGAAAAATGTATCTCTTAAGTCAACCGAACTACTATCAAATTATTTTAATAACCCCTTCGATGGTGAACAATCATCTTCATTGCATGAATTAAGTTTGAACATTGTTATTAAAGGCTGTAACACACAGGACTTACAGAGAATGGATAGTATAGAGTTCTTTTTCTTTTTCTTAAGTATCTCTTAACAACCCGTGATTTATCTTAACCAAGTTTATTTAAGCCACGAAAGCCAGTTGAAGTGCAATTTTCACGTCACAATTGAAGGTTTTACAAGAGTACGTCAAATTCCGCAAATGCTTGTGTAAAAGTTTTCATCTCTAAACAAAACAATCACACCTTTAGTGAACAGAAATAATTAGCTCAGAGTATATTCCATTTTAGGAAGATTTCAGCGACACTAACAGTCTTTGACACTAAAGACCTAGAGCAAATGGCAGTTAATTAACTTTAACACGAGTGACATTTTTTTCGTTAAAAGTTACCAGACTTCCAAATAATTTTCGTTGTTGGTGCAAATATTGTCTTGAAACTCAGCAAATACGGCTTGTTATTGCTTGGGCTTTCCATTTACTTTCCCACGCTTTGGGGTCGAAAGCATAGCTTTGAACCACGTACGAACACACGTTAGGGGTAGAAATTATTAAATCAACAAAACGTTAGTTTGTAATTTCAAAGACAACTAAGTTTTTGGATCCAATTTCTATCCCTTAATCTTGCTTATCCTGGCTTTACATCAAACGTCACGCAATAACCTCACGTTAAATGAGATACAAAGTACACACCACTGCTGAGGCATAGCTTATGAGGAAACTGTTGTGTATTCGAACTGAAGCAACTCTCTGAAGTCTGTGGAACCAACAGACTTGATTTTCGATATTTTCGTCGATTTGTTTCGCACTAGTCATCTCCTTCATAGCGGACAGTTGTTTCTAAGTAGTTTCCGTAGCACTCAATTCTGAATAACTGCTCAAGTAAATTAAATGCAAGCAGTTTTGTTTTGTATTACCAATGGAAATCGTGAATCGTGCGAAAACACCCGTATAGAGCTTTATCTATGCCGAATACTTTTGCCAGTTTCACTTCAAACAACTTATGCCAAATTTCACTTTTAAATACGTTATTTCCATACCTTAATTCCACTTCTTTCGTAACCTCCAAAAACTTCCTTCAACTTCGCAATGTTACCATTTGTAAGAAATTCAATACTGATCGTCACGAGATTACAATTAACAACCTTTTTGGGTTAGGTATAAAGTTGTCTGGTTTTCCCTGAGATATGTTTTGTCCGAGAGACTTTCCGGCGATCGTTCAAAGATGTACCGTTCAACGGTGTGATGTTTAGAAAGTCTCTGACAACTGAGTAACCTGTGCAGTGAGGAGGTGTGGGAGTCTGGTGCCCAGTTGCTGCATAGTTGAGACAAATACCTGCATTTTCCTGTTGTACTGACTGACGTCTAAAACTTTGTTAAATAATTCGTGGTTGTTACACTGACTTAAAGTTGTCAAATGAATGGTGTCAATCTCCTTTTCCCTCTTGCAATGCTGTTTAGGATAACACAAGTAGCTACAAGAATTGTATGCGTTGGTTTTCAGACCAAATGTACTTAAAATAGGGGTCTGTGAGGTGGTTGGTGGGGGGGAGGGGGTCGAATTCGATGTGGTTTGTTTACATTGTAGCTTAATAGTGTCGCGCGCAATTAAAACATTGATAAAACTGTCTCAACGGTTCCGACCAAAGTTAAAGAACGTTTGTCGCTTAGACACAGCCCATGTGGTTGTAATGTCAATAACACCAAAATACGTTTCAGGACTTTTTGCGGAAGAGAATGAGGAGAACAATGATAACAACATTGTTAATAATAATCAAAAAATGTTCATTGGAATTAACAGTGTGCTGCTGCTCTGCGAACAAAACTGGATGACAATGCATGACGTCATCGCAATTATTGGACAAAGCAAAGGAAGGCTATTGTATTTTATTAGTGTTGAGCACTCAGTTACTCAAACCGGGGTAAGTAATTGATCTGTGAGAGACTGAAAAATCATGACATTTCAATTAATTTGCCTATTTATTGAGTTATTCGACTTATTTCCTTAGTATGAGTTGAAAGGGTGCTGGGGCCGAGTCAAGTATCGAAAATTATTGCGCAGAACAAAGATAGCGCTGCAGTACGCGGATTGCTTAAGATAAATTATGCAAGTAGGGTGTTTGTCCTGGGTACCAGAGGTTTTTTCTCGCGCGCGGCGGACGGAAATACTTTGCTTCGCTTCGGAGGGCAAAGGCCGCCGGTCCTAGCGAACCGCGCAAGAAAAACCTCTGGCACCCTGGGTAGTCTATCCACAAATACGAGTTATAACGCGTCTGTTAAGCCCTGACCATACTATTGCGTTTTCGTTTGAAAACACAAACTTTTTGAGGCGTTTTGGCTGATCATCCACATTAGAACGAGAGAGAACACTAATGACATCGGAAGCTTTCGGGAACAGTTTCAAAAGTGGAGCCTTTTGAAAACGCATCGTTTTGAAAACCGTTTCTAGTGGGGAAAGGTGAAAACAGAGGCTTTTGAAAACGGTGCCAAAAAAGCGTCATATACTGTCCCTTCCATCAGCGTTTTCGGGCCTTTAAGAGTGGGTGATAGGCGAAAAAGGGGAGACAGTATGCGTTTTCAAATGAAAACGAATTAGTTTGGACAAAAGAAAACAAAACGAAAACGTTAGTGCGGGCGAAAATATTTTGCTTCGATTTCGTTGAGACGAAAACGCTTACTTTTAAAAACACATTAGCCCTTAACAGGCCTTAATTTCCCCAGCATAACTGGCTGTCAACAGCCAGAGCAGGAAACAACTCGAGAGGTTGGGCAGGGAAATTTATACACAACACGCGATCACCTGAGGCGCCCTCGAGACGGAATCGCTAGCCAAGGATCTTCAAGGGTGCAAAACAAATTAAGTGTCTGAGTGCTCGCAGTGATCATTAACTAAACTCTGATCTCGCGCTGCACAAAACAGCAAAACTCAGCATGGGACCCACATCATGAAAGTAATTTGTGATAGCGAGGTGAAACATCCCCAAGGCAAACAACAAGAGATGTAGATGCTTTGCAGGTAACTAAGTGGCCTCTCAGCCAATCAAAAGAAAGCAAAAGCATTTATTCATGATCAAGTGATAATAATTCTTATTTATCAATGACATAATCGACGGTACATCTCGTTAATGTTAACACCTGCCTTGTTTCAAATTAAACATTTGTTTTCAGCAGTACAATTCTCCTGAAATTCATCAACCGATTGAGCTAGTGATAACATAAAGCTTAATTATTTTAAATCGCACAGTTCATTACAAAAGTCGTCAATTATGTTATAACTCAAAACCACAAGCTACCGCAGGCTATGGAAATGTGGCGATGTCTTATTCAAATTATATTGTTTTTGTATTTTTGCTTTCCGGTCAAGAATATAGTGCCAGCAGCAAGTTTGACGTTGGAATCAAGTTCGCAAACAAACTGTGATACAGAATTTTGTACATAAACTACAGAGGTCGCGACTAGATGAGGACACTTAGGACTCTGACTTTACAGCTCACACTGCTTTTGGGTAGGTCGTATTCTGTTGTAATTTTTCCTCTTCGCTCATCGTTCAGCTCGCAAATATACTTTAAATCAACGAGTCCATTCAACAATTAAGTGAAAAAAGCAGTACTTGCAGACTTTGCTGTTCTTGTGAAAAAAAAAAAAAAAAGAGAACAAACAAACAGCGGATAGAGAAACGCTTAGGCAAACATGCCAAGGCACTTAAGGAACAACTTCCAAGAAATGATCGAAAGTAAGAGCCACAATAAAAGATGAAAATTCAATGCGGATATGTCTTTTGAAAAATTAAAAGAGGAGACCGAAAACTGATTATTTTGAATCCTTCAAACCCACCCCTAACCCTAAAGGCTTTACTTATTGAGTGTATCGATCGTTTTGTCACGAACTGGAACAGTTCTAGAAGCGTGATCTGTTTATTAAATATAATTCCAATTAAATAATTACCTAGCACTGATATGTGTACCCATTAACCAGGAAATCTGTTTTTTGTTCGCGCGTGCGCGATTTTAGTCGTCTTTTTGGTTAGTGAGTGAAATTTGCCAACATTGAGGTTTCGTCTGCTTAAATAATGTTGATAATCATCAATTTCAATACTTATGTAAACAGCTTTAGGGCTTGCTGTCCTAGAAAGCAATTTAAGTTATTTAAAATAAGGGAAGAGAGAAGAGCTATATTGCTTCAAGGCAATAATATTATAATCAATTTCTTACTTAAAGATTAAACGTGGCCTTTTTAAGAATTTGTAGAAACTGAAATCACATTAATTTCGGGAGCCTAAATTTCTCCCAGTTTCAAGTTTTAAAAGCTTTGAACCTAAAACATATTGAAGAGTGTAAGATGAAAACTTACCCTTTTTTGATATATTTGCTATCAGTAATCATAATTATAATTCATAATTATAATTATTGTTATAACTATGCAAAAACTCTATTCTCATATCAATGTCATTAGTCAGATTCTAGTAAAAGCGACTGCTGGAGCTGCCGGTTGATGTATGGGAAGTCCTCTATACATAAAATTAACTGCAAATGACAGACAGTGCAACCAATATAGTTAAAATCCAAAGATTCTGTTGGTAGAATGTAAGATCCGCTCCACACTACACCAGAGAAATTCGAAAACGATTTTTTGACTCTGAAAACACATCAAATGTTTTCCGTCCTCACTTCTTACTCTTTGACGATTGTCAAATAATCGTCGTGTTTCTTTCTTAGATAATCTTCAGTTATGGTGGCTCATGGAAAATTATAGTGTAGGGTTTTAGGCAAAGAATTCTTTTAGCTGAGAAGAACAAATTGATCTACGTAGCCCGATAAAATATTTAAGGTAGTTTATCACTTGTAGTGCGAAAAGAGAAAAAAAATTTTACCATCTTCAAAACTCTGAAGACCACTACTGCTCTATTTAGTAACGCTTTTCTCTTTCTTTTTGATCAATCACGATTTGCGCAGCTGGTGTTGTCAGCTCAAGGACAAGCACACCGAGATTAAGACCATCAAAAGCTGAGGCAGGCTTTCAACTTGCAACTAGTGCATCTGTGTCCACACTAAAAATAAGGCCATCTTCGGGTGACACAAGTTTCCAACGTACAAGTTCCTTTGCGTTCACACCAACATTGCGTTCATCGCCAAGTACCACAGATTTCCAAACTGCCAGTTTAGTTGCATCCACACTGACATTGCGTCCATCATCAGGTGCCACAGACTGGCAACTTGCAAATTTCTCTGCATCTGTGCTGAGGTTCAGTCCATCATCGCGTACCACAGGAATCCAGATTTCAAGTTGTTCTACGCCTGAAAGTACGGTAAATCTGATGATATTGTTTCCACACATTCTTGATAAAAAAGTGTAATAACATACATAGTAATTAATAATAATAATTTTTACGTGTATCAGACTTTCTAAATGTGCATTTTGACTAATTCCACGAATCAAATCGAAGCAGCAGTCTTCCGATCCAAAACTGGTTGTATCTGAGAATAACCTTGCCTCATCAGTAGAAGCGCGCTTTAATTTTGACTGAAGGAAAAAAGCCCTCCTCCAAGTTAATTGTCATTGTCCATTTTACTTTAAGCTGCAATGTCCTACCACATTACAAATCATACGTTTTCTTTTAAAACGTAGTTCCACCTGGCATCACCGGCTCTGGGTATACTCCACGCAACTATTCACCAGCAGGTAATATATCAGTGATAAGAAATGAAATCAAAGTTTGTACCTCGGAGAACAGGGCGGAGTTTGTAACTATTCCAGTTTTTAATGGTCACTATTTTCAATAGTCTCCTTAGCTTTCTACCGGATGAAGGCAAGCAATCCTCGATTAATCTCTCTTCCCTAGCATTGAAATTTTATTTCACTATATTCATATGAATGTTTTCATGGCCTACCATGGAGAAATAATGGCATTGAATGCAAAGCATAGCGAACGTAATTAAGATCTTACTGTTTTAAGACGCGGTCATCAAATGGCTATTGCTGGACACGAAGCCAGTGGTCCTGGTTGAAACCCTAGCTGAGGTCATTGTGTTGCGTTCTTGGCTAAAACACTTCACTTTATACTCGTGTCCAAAGTGATACTGGCAAATTAAATGCTGGCCTGCGATGGACTAGCATCCCATTTATGGGATGAAGAAATACTCCTGGTTGCTTTGTGCTACGAAGACTGGAGTAAAGTGATGGGCCAGTAGGTTCGAACGCAAACTTTAAAAAATAAATAACAGAAATTGGTCAGGAAGGATTCATGGGGAAAGATATTGATTCTCCTACCTTCAGTGGGACTAAAAGGTACGATGGGGTCAAAAAAAAAAACATGACAAAACAACGCATGTCGTAAAAAAAAAATGAGATTTAAAAAAAAACACACTTGACGTTTCGTTGCTTCAACATATGTCTCAGGAAGCAAACGTTCATGTTCGTCACCGCAGTGCGCCTTTGACTCCTACTGAAGTTGAAAGACCAAAGAATAAGATCAAGGGTTGATGATTTCTCTTAGCTAATCAATAGTCTCCCGTATGTAACGATCGAATCCATTTTTTAAAGGTACTCCTCTGCCTCTCTTGGCTAAGATTCTTATTCCAGTGGCAGGAGTCCTGTTAATTGTGCTCGTGATGTTCACGTGGTATTGCTGTGTACGAAAGAAGGAAAGTGGTGACAGAGACGACCTTATGATTGAATCAACAGTGATGGTAAATTGGTTTACAGTCATTTATGCACAGAGAAAACGTTAAAAAAAAAAAATAAAAAAATCGACTACTCGATGTCAAAAAAAAAAAAAACAAAAGAAAAATTACTACTCAGGTCTGAATCACGTGCACGTTGAATCTGAAAAAGAAAAAGAATCTAAAGATTTGAAGCGTGTGCAGGTGATATGCCGTTATGTGTTCACGGGGGGATGATATACACGTGGGTTTTAATCTGGGACGAGGGAAAAAGAAAGGAGGTCCACACATTGAGTAAATCTAAAGAGCCTACTTGTTTATAGTATGGTGTATTAAAAGGGAACTTGGCATGAGCCGCCTATCCACAGGGGGGTATGCGGAATATCCATTTTCTTCCTTTACTCACAAATTTTCTACTCTGATAACTTCCGTTTCATTGACTAACCCCTTTTCCGCTGGAATGCGTGAACTAGAAAAAATGACTTTGAAGGAATCTTCACCACCTTTTCTCATCATAAACTAGCTTTGCTTCACTTCGAAAGATGTTCAGTTAAATGTTCGCTTATTCTAACTGTTAATGCCATTCGTTTTTATGATTCTCTTAGGTCAGATTTGAGCCCGAAGATCATCATTCGTCCGCTTAACCAAGACTTTTGCTGGCCTTCCATTCGAAAGTTACATATCATATTCTGAATGAAGACGAATTTCGAGAGGAAAGTCAACAGCAATAGCACAAAGACTAGTTAGGATTGATTTATCCTGTCAGGTTCATTGGCTAGAAGCGACGACTCCGACGAAACAAGAAAAAGCCTGGTGACGTTTGGTGACGAGAACATAGCAGTCAAAAACATAAACAAGAAATAAAGCATGTCGTAATGTCAATCATTCTTCATTTTTCCTCCAGATGTGTCTTAAAGAACAGCAATTATTGACATGTCTGAAAATTTAAAAAACGAATGTAAAAGCTTTGCCTTTTCTCTTCTTTAAAATCAGTTTTGATCATTTTCAAAGTTCTTTTACTTTAAAAGTAACGACTATCAACTATATGAACTTGAATAAAAGACCTGGGGCCCGTTTCTCGAAAGCCCCGGAAACTCATTTTTTCGGGCCCGTAAAGCCATTTTTAGTTCATCTGTATCTAAAAACGGAGAATGTATACGCCTGAAACTTCTTGTATGAAGGGAACCTCTGTTCATATTAAGAATACGTGAATAAAACAGCTTTGTAATCATAAGGTTTAAGATTTTGATATGGCTTTCCGGGTGCGAAAACTTTTCGGGTCCTTCGAGAAAAAGGCCCCTGAATCGAAGGTCTCTGATAAAAAAATACAAAAAAGTACCTCTTTAAATGGGGCAGACCCTTTTCCACAAAGACATTTTTCTTACAATTTATTATTTTATCCTTATTTGATTACTTGATGCAACTTGGGCAAGCGGGACCTATCTAGCAGAATCGATAGACTTTACACTTGTGTACCTCGGATCATTAAAGGAAAGGGAACGTAAAGCCCCGGGGGGACCATATGAAAAGGACTGGGGTGCTCGTCAAAACGTTTGAAAAGAACCCCGACAACTTGTTTTGTGCGCGTGGCTTGAAATGTTTTCATCCCTAAGAAGTACAGGTACCAATTCTAAAACAACTCACTATCTCCTGTCATATTGTCAGTTTTAGGCACAACACCCTAAAAGGTACAACAAATGCTCCCGTTGTGGACCTTTTGAGGCTGAACACCCCAAGACAAACCAAAACCACTTTTATAACCCCTGCTTTTTGTTTGGAGTCCCCCTACCCCGGGCGTATAGCGATGACATACAAAGCCTTCTTAGCGAGATTAATTCTCCTTACGAATAGAGACAATAGTCCCACTCGACGTTCCTGCTGCTTTGCAGGCCAGATACTGTCTCTAAAGCAGCGTCTTTTTGTTATCTGTTCTTTGATAATGGTTTTCATTCTTCAGGTGGAGATGGTTCTGGTCTCTCAGGACTTTGTTAAATAAAGGCTTGATTTTTCTTTGTGGAAACCATAAAGAAATAAATTTCACGCTCTTTTAATCCAAAATGGACGCAGCTATGAGCCACTGAGCTCTTTCAAAGAGAAGCTTGTAGAGAGCAGCCGCTGGCCAAAGGTGTCTGTCAAAATTTTTGGGGTGGGTGGGCCCGCCGGCCCCTCCCATTCTACGACCAAGAACAAGGACAAAAAAGCTGACCGGGGATTTTTTAAAAAAAGACAACAGAAGAGCTTTAGAGCCTAGGAAAATTGCACCAGGGAGGGCAAAATAATTCACCAGGTCTGTCTTTGACTTCTTTAACCAGTGGGGAAGTCTCGATAGAGACTGGGGCGGGACAACCATCAATTAGGCACCAGTCTTACAAGACCTCTCACGGTTTCGGTCACGGTCAAAATGGCGGAAAAATTGTTTCCCAAGCTGGTTTTATTCGGGGATTCCATTACTCAAGTAAGTTATTCGTTTTGGCGATTTTCGTTCGGAGTCATATAAAAGATTAAATCACAAGACAGGTAGTTTATCTACAGTAACTCGTATACCCTCACAAATAAATTTTACCTCCAATTGTAGCTTTTGATCACTTCTAATAATAGTAATAGCAAATTAGTGAATTAGCCACGTAGCGGTAGCTTATGGGCTTTTAAATATTTCATCGATTCAGTAAAAATGAAGCCTTCCTTAATCAATCTATTTCCACAGTTTATACCATCATAAAACATAGAAATGATATCATAAACTGCTTAAAACTGGAGTGCAACCAAGGACTTCCTTGTTTAAATTCACCGGCGATTTAGAGTTATGTTTTAACATAACACGCGCGTGCGTGACACCAGGGGCGTGACAGTTCGTAAGATCACGTTTTTTAAAACTGCCCAGTTCGTCGATGTCTTCGCCCTAAATAACCCAATTGAAATTTCAGAACTCGATGGTTTGGGGTTTATTGTAAAAGTCACCACAATTTCTCAAGTTCTGCAAATATTGCCTGAAGTTGTCTAGCATTGCTTTCCAAGTTACATCATCAACTATATTAAGCCAAACCTGTTTCCTCATTCTTCTGTCCTTTTGTTCTCTACTGTTTTATGTCAGCTGTGTCGTCTACACCAAGTAAGGGCCACTCTTGACCACTGGACGTGCAAGAATTGTCTCAGTAAACACATAATATAATTTTCAATAATAATAAAAATAATAAAACGAATGTTTGAACAAGATAAATCCATTATCAAAGGGGTCCTGTAAAACTTAAAAAGTAAGAAAACAATTAAAACTTTACAAAACTTTACCATTAAGAAGTACATAAAAAAATCACAAAATCAAGCTTACATATAAAAACCTCAAATGAAAAAGTTTGTTGACCTTTTGTCTAAATAACACAGTAGAGTTGGTATTTTTAACCACTAATGATGAGCTATTATAAATTGAAGCACTCAAAAAAGAAAAACTTTCACAGCGGAACTCCAGTTTCATTTTGGTTTAAGGAATGTGACAGTTTTTATTTAACTAGGTATTTTGTAACACCACCCTGTGGGTACAATCTGGGCAATTTGCATGAATTTGAGTTGAAACTTATAAATCCAACAGGAATCGTTTAGCGAAGGAGGATGGGGTGCAACAGCAGTAGGTCACTTCCAGAGGTCAGTAGTCAATGGAAGTTCACTTTTTATTTAAGAAATAGGAAACTTGCTCTGTAATTCTATCGAGTTATGAAAACATGAGTGGAAGTTTAGGAGGACGAGAAATGCTGTGGGAACATGAGCCAGCACAGCTTTTTCAAAATCTCCAAACTTTCTCAAGTATTTCTATTTAACAATTAGATTATGAGCTAGAGATTTATATCATGTGATAGTTGATTTGTGTGCTCCCTGAGTCAGCTATCACTCAAAGAGATCTATTTGTTCAAAACTTTATCTAAATCCTCTTCACAGATTCAATTGCTCAAGCCATTGCCCACCTTACAAATTCATGCACAACCTTTAGGCAGGCAAAAACATTTAGTGCCCCAGAAAATTGTCCAAGGCCCCATCATAATAGTAATGTTCGTCCATAACCTTAAGGTACCCAAAAATATTATTGACCAAGCACAGTCCCAAAATAGCTGCAGGGAAGAAGAAATTAGCAAGATATCTGGAAAAAAGTGACATGACAGCCTTCTAGGGGAACAATTTAGCAATCAGGAGAGTTTTAAAACTTTAATTTACAACACATTTTTGAAGGAGATAGCGGTTGTGTTTTTCCTCCAAAACTTATCATTAATTTTTAAGGTACCTTTAACATTTCCAACTGGTAAGGCTTTTTACCTGGTAAGTGGGAGAGGGGTCTCGGGCCATGTTTAATTTAGGGGGTTCAGCCAAATCCTACTAGATCTTCCCCAGGTTAACAACAGATCTAAAGACAGAT